ATTGGGGGGCAGGGGGGGTGCAGGGGGTCCCGGGATGAGGGATGCGACCCCAAAAATTGCTGGTCTTGCAGTTTTGCAGCCTGCCCCAGCGGTGCGCGCAGTGCAGCAGCACTTCCCTCTCTGCATGAAACAGCACGTTTATCCACCCCACGTCCCAAAAAAACAGCCTAAAAATAAGCCCCAGGAGGCCCCTCTTTCCCAGGTGCATCCCCTGGGGTCCTCACAGTATGCCAGCACCCATGGGTGTCACCAACACCTTTGTTTCCATGGTGTTGGGGTCAGAAACAGCCACCCCGTTTCCATAGCCAGGGTGAGAAATGTTGGAGGAGCGCGCGGAGCCTCATCCATAGTGCTGCAAGTCCCAAAACCAGACCGTTTTCTTCCTCTCCAGTTTGGGGGTGAAAGGGGCCACAGGGGTTTGGGGGTGAAAGGGGCCACGGGGGGGGGTGACCCTCAGCATCCTCACCTGCAGCTCCTGGTCCAGCACGTGGGTTCCGGGAGGGAAGGGTTAATCTTGTTAGGGAGGGGGCAGGTGAGGGTGGATGAATGACAATTAGCATCCCTGTCTCCCGGCTGCCTTAAGGAAAGGGATTTAGGCAGAAGGAGGCAGCAGCTCCTCTTTTTTGCTGGGAAGGAGCTTCTGTCCTGCCCTGGGACAGCTCAGCCCTGGGGTAGCATCGCAGGTGGGTGTCCCTGGCTGGTGTGGGGTGCTGGGGGGGGAGGTTCCTGGTCTGGTAAACCTGGGCAAAGGGTATTGTGGTCCTGTCCTCAACGTGGGGAGCATCTTCAAAGGTGTCTGATTCCTCGTGGCCAAGCTCAGCCTGGCCAAGCCTTGTCCCTGCCATCACTGTAGCGGCATGCCCCAAAAAACCCAGCAGCTGCGTTGCCACTCTTTGCCCGTGGCCATGCTGGTGTTGCTGCAGGTGTCCTGGGAAGGGCGGTATCTGCCCTGAGCTCAACAGCCCCTGGGTTTGCTGGGCACCAGCGTGCTTTTGGAAACAGCCTAGGTGTTCTGGGGATGGAGGAGGTGAGAGAGCATCCTTCACCAGGTGAGCAACAGCTCTTTCCTTCTTGGATCTTGCGTGGGCTCCTGCTAGGACTGTGTCGACACGGCAGCCGGGGAAGGCTGTGTTAGTTCCGTGATGCCTCTTGACACAGCTTCCACCTTCTCCTCCTCCAGCCAAGGCACGTTCCCGCAGCATGATTCCCTGCTCTGTCCTCAGACCTGGCTCTTGTATCAGCAATAAATGAGCGATTTCTCCCAAGGATGGGCTGTGACCCCATCCCGAGGTGCAGCCTGAGGCAATTGGGGCTCAAATGGGTCGGGCAAGGGGAGCACCAGCTCTGGGTCCTGCGGTTTCCAGGCTTCCTGCCGTCCCTGCCTGCAGGCTGATGTCCAGATCAGGAGGGAAAAAAAAAAACAACACCTTTAGGGCAATGTCCTCTTTATTTGCAGCCTGGGCATAAAGCCACTGGGATGCACCTGCTTCCCTCCAGGAAGTTAAACCCTCCCTTTTTGGATGGGAAGGGACCTGGAGGAGCTGACACGCATCTGGGGCGAGGGGTGGTCACCAGACATGGCTGGTAGCAGCAGTGCCAGAGGGTCATGCTCCTCTCTAGAAGCAGAAAGTTGGTGGAAGAAACCCCCAGGCTTTACCTCTTGGAGGAAGCCAGTGCTGGAGGGTTGAAGAGGCCTCATACCTCCAGGATGGGTTCTGACCTTGCTCCAAGGGGGAGGGTGGTTGGGCTGAGCTGCCCCTGTGCTTCTGTGTCCCCCCCCCTTTGTCATTGTTCCCCTTGGGGATCTCATCCAGCTGCCGCTGGCAGTGCAGCCTGAGGTCCAGAGCTGTCCATCCATCCTCAGCGCCGGCAGCACCCCGTCCTCGCCCTGCTCTCCCTCAGGTCCACTGTTGACCTCCCACGTGGGGACGGGGCGGACGTCTTCCCTTGTTCCCGCTGCAGGAGCTCTTGGGCTGGGAAGGAACACAAGGAGAGAAAGAGCTCAGTTCTCCTGCTGGTGGGGTGGGACGTGATGGCTGTCCTGCCCCACCCCAGGGAAGCCATCGATGGCCACCAGTACTGTTCCACAGGAGCTGTGTTAGATCTTGACTGAACAGCTACACTGGGGACAGTGTTACACTGAGTTTGGACACTAAAGCAAAGGAAAATCGTGGCTTTGGGAGAGGGCCTGAAATCCATCTCTGATGTCGGAGCATCCTGGGATGGATCTGTCCATCCTTCTGCCCTAGGAGGTGTGGCAGGTTTCACAGAAACCACGGACTGCTGTGGCTGTGATCCTTGCAGCTGCCAGCTGTGGTGCAGGCTGGACTGGCCATGAAGGAGATCTTGGTGGCAAGCAGGAGCAATGAAGGGGGTCAGCTTTGCAGGGGGGAAGGCATTTACAGCCTTGAAGAAATTTGGGGCCTGTGGTTCACCCACCTCTGCTCTCACCTAGAGCCATCCCACCAACTCACCTACGGCCATAAAGATATCATTTACTTGGTGGTTAGATTTTGCAGATGTCTCCATGAACAGAAGGCCTTTGGTCCTTGCAAACTCTTCCCCCTCCTAGGTGGAGACAAGCAGAGTTAGTCCACCAGCCCCTTCTGGGGCTGCTTGTTTGGTTACGGTGGCATTTTGTGGCAGGTTGATAATCGTACGGAGACTTTGGAGGTGTCTGAAAGCCTTTTAAATTCTCAGCTCTGCTAGGATGTATCCCAGTGCTTGTTGGCGAGGGGGTGATGAGGGGTCCTGGAAGCTCACCACAGGTGCTCACCTCAGTGGTGACTTCTCGCTCAGCAGCAAGGTCCACCTTGTTGCCCACCAAAGCAATGACGATTTCATCGGGAAGGAATTCCTTCTCCAGGTCCCTCAGCCACAGCTTTGCTCTGTTTAGTGTTTCCTGGAGAGGTGGAGACAAGACCACCCAGTGATCTGCTTTTGATTTAATCCTTTTGTCTCAGACATAGCAAAGCTGCATGGGTGGCACCAAACCAAAGGGGATGGAAGAGATGTGGTAGGGAGCTTTTAATTGCCCTTTCCCTCAAGGAAAGAGGTCACTGGCCCTCAAACACCTTTAGAGATAACTCAGCCTTGGATGGGATGCACCCTTTCTGCATGGTAGCAGAAATCACCCCTGGAGCGGTGGCATGGCCCTGCACAGGCAGGGATAGCACCTGGCACGTCCCACATGGCTCGTTCATCTTCTCAGGCAGTGCTTGTGTACAGCTTTCTGCTTTACAAAGGACAAACACCATCATCTGGACACCTCTGCCCCATCAGTCCTGCTGCAGCATAGCATAGTTTTGGGATGGACAGGATCAGCATCCCCTGCCTTACCTTGTTAGCGATGTCGTAAACGAGGAGAGCAGCGTGGGCGCCCCGGTAGTAGAGGTGGCAGACGCTGTGGTACTTCTCCTGGCCTGCCGTGTCCCAGATCTCAAACTTGAGGGTGGCTACCTCCAGGTTGAGCGTCTGTGTGAAGAAGGAGCCTGCAAGCAAGATGCAGGGTGCACGTTTGCTTGCAGCAAGAGCAGAGAGCTCAGATCCTCTGCTGCGAGGTCAAACCCATCCTGAGGGCAGGTGACAATGCTCTAATGCACAAAATTGGGACAGGTTTCTTGTAAGCACTGGTACCACTGATGGGACAGTGTGCTGTAAGGCAGGGCAGCCTGTGGCGAGCTGGGAGCCCTTCCTGGCAGAAGATTTGGGTGGATGCACACTAGTTTTGATGTCAGATAGCTCTGAACTTTGCAGAATAGCCCCCAGATAGAGAGCCACCTCCACCTTGCTGGTGGATCAGAACTGTGAGAGCTGTGAATTGGCATATCCACCAAAAAGGGCTCCCACTGGAGGGGAGCCTCCATCCCTCTTCCCAGGAGGATGTGGGACCAGCCAGAGCCGAGGCACAGGGACAAGGGAAGCAGCTCCACAGCACCTCGCTGTCCTCCACCAGCTAGCTCTTCAGGCTCCAGGTGGGACCGCAACCTCTGTGCTTGCTCTGCCTTCTTAGGGCAAAAGCCAGGTGTATCATGTAAAATGAACATCCATAATGTCCAGGTGCTGTAGGAAGCTGTGTGGATGTGAATGTACAGGGGAAGCAGCTTGATCCCAGTGTTGGTCCGAGGGAGGTTATAGAGGGAGCCGAGCTCTCACACCTCTCCAGGTAGTTTTCATCAAAGCACGAGCACGCACGTGGCCCACCTTCTGCTGTGGGTCCTTCAGTATGGCTCGTCAGGACAGGACATGCAGGGGCAGATGTTCTCCCCTTTGCCAGCGGGGCAGAGCGTGGGGTTGGCAGCCTGGCCAGGGCGCGGGGAGATCTGCGCTCTCGTCTCCGGAAGCAAGCTGGAGCAACAGGGCGCTGCTGCCAGCCTACCATGGGGTAGTGCTGGGGGGGTCCTGCCACCTCCTGGGCTGTCCTGCCTGGCCCAAACCTCCCTGTTCCAGTGGGAGATGGGCTGTATGGTTTGGACTCCAGGTTTCACTCATTTTGCTGCTCATCTGCCTTCAAAAAGCAGCGCTAAGCCAAACCCGTGCAGCTGGGATGTGGCTTTGCTGAGGAAGGTGGGCTGCAGGGATCTGAAGGTGACCGAGAAGGGGGAGGTCTGGCTCTGGGGTAAATCTGTATCGTGCCCAAAAATGGTCATTCAACAGCTGGAATAAAATCATTACTATCTTGAATCAAATTTCTTGCATCAAACCATCTGCCACTGTCACTTATGACCTGAGGGTGGAGATCTTTTGGAAGGAACTGCAAGATGAACCAACTGGTTCTGCTGCATCCCACCCTGCTGCAAGGAAGGGCATCAGACCTCGTATCTTGTCCAGAGCCATCAAGATATTGAAGCTACTCACTCACATCCCACGGTTGGCAGCGACTCCTTGAAGTCATTTTTCACATATCGGTAGGCCAGGCTTGATTTTCCCACGGACGTGCTCCCCAGAAGAACCACCTTGTAGATGTAGGTGGGACGAATCCCCTCCAAGGAGGTGCCTGGCATTGCTTTCTGTGCCGTGTCCTGCAAGGAAACAAACTGTGTTCAACACGTGTCTGCAACGATCTCAGGTCCATCAGTTGAGCCTCCTGCATCAACTCCTGACCGGTGGCAACAGGGCAGGTGGAGTTTAACCTCAAAATAGGCTAGAATAAAATCATTAAGATCTTGAATCAAATTTAATACATCGAACCATCTGCCACTGTGACCAGAGGGTGGAGATCTTTAGGAAGAAATTTGATGCAAGAAGCCTTCTCGGATGTGAGTAAGAAGATCGGACTGAGTGCATCTCCTTTAAAGAGAGGACATAATGGAGAAAGTTAATGACAGAGGGACATCGCTTATGGGTGTGCCTTGCTCTTGAGCACACCTCCTTCCCCAAAGTCCTGGTGAAGAGCTTAGGCTGATGTTCCACATTTATTGTGGGTCTTGGTTAGAAGGTATACCAAGAGAGCCTAACAGGCTGAAGGTGAGCTCAGGCACGGAGGTGATGCTGCTACCAGCTTGCTAAGGACACTGTCCGAGGGGTGACTGGGCACCTCAAGAGCTGATGGGCTTTGTGGCAGGGCCCCTTCGAGTCAGGGCTTGTGCCGCCCGTTTTTTGAGGACCTGACTCGAGCACCCCTGAGGACAGCAGCACCCAGAGCAAACAGCACACACTCCTCCACTGTGGATTAAGAAACTCCGGGCAGAACAAGCCCATGAAGTCTCAGGCCCTCGTGACCATTGCACCAGAGTGTGACTCTGCATCACTCGGTGGAACTACGCTGTGTGGTGACCTGGGACAGCGGGGAGCACTGCCCAAAATAACAGGTGAGCAAGAAGGACCTTTATAAAGACATCTAACAGCAGCGCTACCAGTGTAGCTCCTGGCCCAGGAAGATCTTGGTGGCTCTCTCATCTGACAAAAGCCCCTTGTTCCTGCATGCTGCTCATCCCACGGGTCTCCTTTATTTTGCCTCTCTTCCCCCTGCAATCTAGCAGGCTCCAGACCTTTAATTCTCCTCTCTTCCCTGAGCTGTTATCAAAGCAGGCTGTCATTAAGAGCATTCCTGGTGCCATCTGTGGTTGTTCTTCTGTGTGAAACGGGCTTTCAGCCCCTTAAAAACTGGGGGTAGAATCTTCTCCCCCAGCTCATACAGCCCAGTGATGAAGAGCAGGATGGCAGCTTGGAGCAGAACAGCTAGGTAGGGGAGGGTTCTATTTTTTTAAGCAGGAAAATGATAAATCCTGTGGGGCAGCGTAGGGGTGCTCGTTATGGTATTAGTTACATACATTTGCCTCCTTGGAGGAAATAAGACTGCTAGCCTTTCTGGGCAGTTACGTTAGCCACCGGGGTGATATATGCCATAAAACTCTCAAGGGAAGCAAGAAGCTGCATAAAACCACTCAAGATTGTCTATATTAAATTCGATTTCGTACTATTTCACTCTGCTGCTCTCTGTTGAACTGTAGAAGGCTGTATTGATGCTGGAACAAAGCTTATCTGAGACGTACTTAACGATAGAAATTTCCTTGGGAACTTTTTGTGCCAGCAAGCACCTATTAGGGACGGGGAGTTTTGCCAAAGCTCATTTGAAACAATTCCTTTTCCATGTTAAGAGGCAGAAGGTGACTCTCCCCTTCCACCCGAGGAGAACAGCAAGGAAGCAAAACAAGTGGCTTTGTTTTGATTCAATGGAAAATAGGATTTAGAGGAAACTGTTTTTTTTTTCCCTTTTTTTTTTTTTTTTTTTTTGTTGAAAAAGGAATGTACAGAGTAAAACCCTGTGCTCGCTGGCTAAGGGACTGTCCTGGTTTCAGCTGGGACAGAGTTAGTGCTTCTTTTTAGCAGCTAGAAGAGCTCTGTGTTGAGACAAGGCACCAGCTTGGTCAAAAGCTATCTCAGCTGCCCCAGGGGTGGAAACAGCCCTACTATTGCCATGGACTGAACCAGACTCTAAGGACTGTGGTGGTTTAGGCTGGCCAGCAACTAAATGCCACACAGCCACTCACTCAGCCCCCCTCATCTCCAGGGGACAGGGAAGAGAATTAAAGGGGAAAAGGGAAAAAGACCCGTGGGTTGAAATAAGAACAACTTAATGCTAATAATATATGAATATATATACATATGTAATGATAATAACATATACAAACAAGTGATGTACAGTGTAACTGCTCTCCACCCGGTGACCAAGGCCCGGCCTGGACTAACAATCCCAAAACAGGTAAGCCCCAATACGCAATCCTGGATGAGTCAGAGGCCCAAAAAAAAAAAAAAAAGGCAAGAGAGACATAGCACTCAGAGTCTGAGAGTGAGAGCACCTGGAAGAGCAAAAGTTCTTCTTTCTGGTCAACCCTCATCTATATACTGGGCGTGACGTTGCATGATATGGAATATTCCATTGGCCAATTTGGCCCTCAATCTTCAGTCTAAGTTCAAATCACAAGGGGAGATGTGAACACTTTGTCCCAGCCATGCTCCCACCTATCCTGTTGTGCTCCTGCACACCGGCAAGAACACAGGAAGCCGAAAAGTCCTTGAGGTCTCAGTGCCAACTATAAACACCAGTGTGCTATCAACATTCCTCTCATAGCACATGCCAGAGTAAAACCAAAACACAGAGCTGTTCTAGCTGCTAAAAAGAAGAACTAACTCTGTCCCAGCTGAAACCAGGACAAGGGACTATGGGGAAAAACCCTCCAGACATCTCATGTGGCTTGTAGTCACCCTTCTGCGGCTGCTCCCTGCACTGGGGAAGAGCCTGTTGGCGAGACCCAGCTTAGGGTTATGGTCAGCTCTGCAAACCCTGGATGCTGCTCCAGCAGGGTTATCTGTGCCTGCTCTGGGTGCAGATAAGGGTGCTGCTGCCTCACAGCAAACAGCATCCCTGTTCTTTCAGCCTGTGCTGTTAATGAAGTAGAAGCAGCTCGTTCTTCATTTGGAAACCTCCTTGGCTTCCCTCGGCTGGGACCGAAGGACTGAACATATCCAGGAGAAACATTTAAAGTGACTTTGCTGCAGATTTCTGAGAGTTAAACCCCAGCAGAGTGCACCTGCGTGCCAGAAAGCTCCTGTCGGCGTAACTAGAGTAAGTTTTGACTTATCCCACTGCAAACTCCAAACTCTGAAGGAGTCACTGATGCTTCTGTGCAAAACAGCATTAGCAAACTTTCCCACGCAGGTTTTGAAAGGCTGAGGTGTAACCTCAACTGGAACTGCTTAGGTGCTGGGTTCCAGAGTTTTTTAGTTTATCCCAGTAAAGAATAACTCAGTGGTTTAGGGAGCAGCCTGGTTGTTACGAGCGCTGTCCTCGTGCCTAAAGGCCACTTCGAGGGGCAGGGAGAACTGAACCTGCTCAGATTCAATATAAAGAGACAGAGATGAGTCTAGACAAGCATTTCTCTTCAATCAACTGTAAAAATCCTGTTGGTGGATTTAGTCTCCGGATACAGCTTAATATTCCGTGACAGCTGTGTCTAGCAGCGGATGCTCGGGGCAGGCTCGCCTGATCTTACACTTACCTAGAAGGTGAGTATCATTTCTCACTTCCTAATGGAGGATTAAGCATCGCTGCACCCAGGAAATTGCGTTCTTGGCCAGACACCCCAGTCTTGATGTCTCCTCTCTCCTTCCCGTGGGCAATGGGTGGGTACGCGGAGGCAGCTCCGATCAGCGTGAACCAGTTTCCCCCTACGGAGCCCGCTGGTTTAATGTAAATCAACTTAAAGGTAATCGTTGTGCCGGGCACGGCAGCAGTGCCACATGAGTGATACTGCACTGACACCGCCTGCCCTCACTGTTTCCAAAAAGGAACCTGACAAATCTGTTTATGAGGGTGACTCAGCTGTTTATAATTAGCAGGGAAGTGGGCTTTATCTACGGAGCATCCTTTCAAACTCATGTTTTACGGGCGTAAACACTAGTAATAAAACCCAGAAACATGAGGTGGCAGAGTAGACATTTGTGGTGGAATACAACAGCAAGGGCTTGGCTTTCACCATGCAATAAATTGGTATCTCTGCAGCATTTTTAACCTGGAGAGGGGGGATCCTGCTCTATCTATTGTCAGGAGATAAGCATCTTATTTCCAAAGGAAAACAGTAAGAAAGGAAAAGAAATGCATACCTTTGGGAATGGAGCTACTGAGAAGTGTTATTATTTAACTTCCTGGGAAATTAATGTTTAAATCTAATGATGTCTAATTGATGGCTAAGTTTTTCTAAACCACAAGTGCTAAGAAGATCCTAAAACGTCTAAAGACATTTGCTGAGTTGCTGCAAGGGTGCAGCGGTGAACAAGGACCACAGTTAATCAGCTCCTTGGAAAAAAAAAAAACAGGACTTTGATGCTACCTGTTTAATTCTGCAGTATCTAGCCCCGCAATTTTTAGACACGACACTTTAAGTTCTTTCAGATTTAGATTCCCCCACCCCCCCTGCCCCAGATAGTGGGTCATGCACCTACCTCCCCTGTGAACTTCTGTTAGTATTCAGCTCAAAGCACTCCTCTGGTTTTGGGAGCCTCCTCCTACCTGCTAAAGCTCTCAAGAGTGCTGGTGCAGGAGCATGGCAGCTTGGAAAGTTGGCTTAAGCCAAGGTTACCAGGGGATACGAAAATCCCAACTACAAGGTCTTAACGCGTAAACATTGTTAGATTTACATAACGCCGATTCCTCAACGCAATCAGCCCTCCTCGAAGCTAAGGGGAACAGGATAAGGGTCATTAACTGCGCAGCCGGAGCGGGTTGAGGAAATAAGGCAGGAAATGGAGATCGCCCTCAGCTGTGGGTGAGACCAAGAGCTCTGCTAAGACCTTCGCAGCAGCTCTTCAGCTGCCCAAGAGGATGGGGCAGAGGGCTTCCTAAGTCTTCCTAAAATCTCCTCTCTTGAGCAAGGAGCTGCTGAGGATAGTGCTGCCCTCCCTGCTGGATGTCCCTTTGCGGCTGCGATCAGGGCTGCTTCCCGGTGGGAGGAGGAAAGTCCCGGGAGCTTGTCTGGGAAAGGCACCTTGGAGATGGTGGGTT